GGATCTCACTCCCCTTGGAAGGTAACATGATCAGTGTGTGACGGTCTACTCACCCAATGTAGCCATCTCCCAAGGAACAACACCAAAAGACCAACTATAAAGAAAAGCACAAAGGTCATGAATATGCTCACTGCATAAACGCTATAAATTTTCCTCCTCTTCTTTTTACTTGACGAACTAAGGGAAAAAGGGCTTGTCTCCACCTTTCCGTGCCTTCGCGCTTGATTGAACCCTATGACACCAGGCCTCAGATGCTCAAAGCCCTTAGCAAATGGCCTAGCAAGGTTAATAGAGTAGGGAAATCAATACCAATTTACGTGACGGGTCTGTCGCATATTCGTAAACTTTTCCCGGCAAAGGAAAGCTTTTAAGTGATCTTTACATACACTCTGATTTACAGACGCCGCTCTCGCTATTGACTATGAAAACTATATATAGTCCTGAGTCAAAATTGCGCTGACAAGTACGAAATTACCCACTATATTAACCAGTGGAATTCTAGATCGGTTTGAATTAAACTCACTGATCACGATTTTTAGGGTAGCTGAGGTTTTCTGAGCAGGAATGTATTGAAATGTGTTTAAAAGAGCGGGAATCATTTGTACGTACACATCACTTTTGGTAGTGTGAAGGCCTTGATAGAGTGATTCTGGGGCCATCCATTTCACAGGAAGTTTTTTGGACTTCGCTGAGCAGCTCATATCTTCATAGATTTGTCTCATCAACCCAAAGTCTGACACTTTGATTTGGTGGTCATGGCCAACAAGAACATTACGGGCAGCAAGGTCTCTGTGAACAAGATTGTTTCGGCGAGATGATTTTAATTAAGAAGGAAGGGGAAAAAATGAAAATAAGTACCAAAATACTTCAGTTACAGGGCTATTAGTGCCTAAAAAGGCATGGGTGAAGGCGAGAAAATTAGGGGCAAACAATTAAAAGAAAAATACTGAACTGAACTGATCTGAACGACTGAGTCAAGATTATACGAAACATGCCAAATTTGGTTCGATCGACTAAGACAATTTCTCCACTAAAACTAATTTGACACTCTAATGAAAAAAATCAAATCATTCTTCATCTAGAAAATTAACCCATATGTCCTTTCTTTCTTGCTTGTGAAATAGTCTGAAACCGATCTTTGAATGATGAAAACAGAAACTGAATCGAAGCAACGTCGCTCAGAAAATAATCATATAGTAATTACCATTCCTTTAGCTATTTGCCAAGCAAATAAAAAGAGTTGTTTGGATCGAAAGCTCTCCTCCTCGCATTTTTCGTCACTGCTGAGATCCTCGTCTGTTTTTCCGATTACAGGCGGCATGGCGGGGAAAGGCTTCGCTTGACCTTTTCCTGTTGACACTTGGCTGCTGAGTAGTTCTTTGTCCGTAACTTTCCAAGCCCATCCTTAGTAAATTTACAAAAAAAATCAGTTATAATGGCCTATCCTAAACAACTCGAAGAAACCGTTTAGATCGATTCAATCGCTAAGACGCAGCCTTCGCGGAACTAGAACCCGGCCTTCCGAAAGGCCTGGTCGAGGTTGTACAGCCGCTTTTTAAAAAGCCTTGAACACCCTTGTGGACGGCCATTCTCCGGGCGCTGGGGTTTGCGGTGAGGGTTTCTCATCCAAGAATGGGATTCGATTCAGTTTTTTATTTCAGGCCATGTTTGAACCTCTTCAGTGGGTGTCTAATGCTACGCGCACCGGTAGCCAGGTCAGAGAAGAAGACCATCTTCGGAAGGCGCGCGTCGTCCGTTCGAACCACATGTCCAACCCCCGCAGCTTTGGTTTCATGATGAGTGCCTTAATGCATGGCATGTTGGCTCTGCGCAGCAATTCTGTCTTGGAGACTCTATCATCCCTGGAGATGCCCATAACCGCCTGTGCTTGGAGCTCCTGATAATCTTCCAAAGATGGAAACCCTTCGTCAAATTTGTTCACAGCGACGAGATTTTCATAGGCACTCTTAAGGATGTCAGACGGATTTTTCTTGTTCATGGTCGCAAAGTACATATCTGCACGCCTCTTGCCTTGTCCTTTCGCGAGTTTTTCCATGTTCAGTTTAAAGGCCTCCACAGCAGCTTCTGACTCGAGCTTCTTATACTGGTACGGACTCGGTAAAGTGCCGAACTCACGCTGATAAGAGCATCGCTGAACTGAAACAACAACGAAAGCTGTAAGTAACGCTCCAGCTAGCAAGAGCAACGCTGCCGTCTGTGAATTTTTTCCCGCTTTCGCGTAATCTGCTTCGATTTGTAACTTTTACGCGGCTGAGGTACTGATTAATTTCGCTGCTTTCGTTCCTCCGAGAGCGGCGCAGATGTAATAGTCACGCTGCAAGAGCGCCCAGAAAATCCACATGAACCCAGACAGAGAACTTTGGAATACGATTTCCACAAGAGCTTTGCTGGAAGGCCATCTTGGAAACAAACAACAGCAGTACCGTTTTGCTCCTCGCTTGTACGGACCTTCGTAATAACAGCATCCACGAACATGGTCCCAAAATCCGCTGCGAAGAAAAATCGTCGCGATAAACAAAAACAAAGCAGGAATGATGAAGAAACAGCTGGCGTAAAAAACAAAGTTGTCTGGAGGACACTGGAAGAAATCTTCACTCTGTACGACGGGATTCAGGCCAAACACCAGCAAGTGGTGTTTCTTATGGAACCTGAGTGGTTTTGGAAGGCCGATTTCACATTGGTTACCAGCGAACTAAGCGTGAGCGCCATCTTCTATTTAGGCCAGACTAATTTATTCAAGTTCGTCTAATGGTTCGTGTGTCTCAGATTTATTGTCTGATCTCACATATCACGCGACCAACAATAGAAATCACGGAACGAGGAAGAGTTTCAATTTTTGACGATAAAAGTCAAGAATAGAAAAATATGGGTATAATTCTTCGTCCCTGACTTTATCGTTTTTAATCGTATGAGCGCATTAGCTCAAAATGGAAAACAAAAACTTATTTAAAAAAATAATTGGGTTTTTCAATACCCATTGTTCGAATGATCACGCTTGACAGTTACTAAGGACTCGAAGTGTGTATTAACTTTTGAGACCATGAACTCTTTAAATAGCCACGATCCTAGGTTACCGACAGTTTGGGATTTTGAACAAAACTGTCAAAGAGTTCTGTGATCCAAAGATTTCAATTTCTATTTTCTTACAAGTTACTTACAAATAGTAAGCTGCAACTTAATAAAACGCAATGTTCGGGAAGTTGCATTTGTAAACTTTAAAAGTTTTTTTATTTTTATTTGTCGAGAAAGGGGCGATGATATTAGCGCTACTTATCAAAGACTGTCACACAGACTAGGAAAAAAGAGTTGTGGTTTGTAGATAACAAAATTGACGCTTGTGTTATCGACGAAAACACTCTTTTTTTAGAATATTATTTTCCGACCCACGGACTGAATATTCTTCATATAATAAGCCCCAAGGCTTCTGTTTGAGCTTTCTCGTCAGAAAAATACTTTTCATTCTTTTACTTACAATTTACGTCTCTTTAATCTTTAAATAACATTTTCTATAATATATTGCATGTCTGTATGTATATCATTATGCTTTTTTTTTTTTTCTGGCAAATAAATAAGTAAAAATTCTTACTTTTCTGCCGATTTAGTACAGGTTTTCTCGTTTTGTTGGCTAGTTTTGCCGTTTAGAGAAAGGAATCAGTTATTAATCGGGGCACCCAACCATGGTTTCCTTTTTAGGCTATCCAGAGTACTTTGTAGATATCTAGAAATGCATTCTAAACGGCGCGTAAAGTTTGTATTTGTTTGGTCATCCTTGGGGAAATTGAGTCTTTTCGAAATTACAACGGCTTGATTAGTATTTTTCCGAAATTTTAGATGAAATTTGACGTATTAAGAAAGTGAGAAATTTTCTGATTCCTCTCGCCACCACATTTTTGAAACCGAAAAGTTTAGGTTTTTTTTTTCTTCGAAAAACAGCTTAACTTGGAAAGTAAACTGTGAAAAGTAAAATTTCAGAAAATCGTGGAGAATTTATAAGATAAGCTTCGAAAATTGTACCAGAATGGAACGGTCATCTACAAATTTTTAGCCGTCCTCAAGTAATAGAAAATTCTAGACACATTTTAGAGGAAATGTAGGGGCTTTCTTTCCCCAGTGACAAAGAAAACCGTCTGTAATAATCATGGTGTCCGGATTAAGCGAGCGTTCGGAAAGCGGAGTTCGACTGTACATGGGAGCGTAAATCTACGGATTGACAGAGGTTTTAGTGCAGAATTAGAGAGAAGTAGCATAAGCTTGTTTCTTTGAAAAGATTTCGATAAAAAAAAAACTGCAGAACCATGAACGTGTTATAATTTCATAACTAAATTTATATCAGTTTCATGTAACAATACTATTACTAATTATGTTATATTGTGATTCAAAAATAACTAGTATTCATTTTCATTATGATTTAATAAGACAATTATCGATGTGTTCGTTGATATCAGAATTTTTCAATCTGCTCGCAAATTTCTTCCCACAAACAGGGCAGAGAATTTCCTTCTCCATTTGGTCCTTAGAATCTTTGTCAGTCATTTTCCCAAACGAAGACAAAATGCTCGATTGCTTCCGTCGCTTAATCGCCCTTGACGACGCTTCAGAACTAGTTCGTTTCAAAGAGTTCTTTCCTTGAAGGTCCTCTTTCGAAAGAGGCTCGGAAAGGTGGCACACAAGACCATTACACTTAGCAGCACCTTTGAAAGCTCCTTTATTTTGCGGGAGCTCTTCCTCTTCTCTTCCCTTCGATCTAAAGTAAATTGATTTGACTTCCTTCTTACTTACTTTAGTCGTTGCTTGTTGGTCATTCGTGCTGTTTTTGACGTTGTTCTCGATTTCTTGATTTTCGATCTCATTGCAGTTATTTTCCCCGCTCTTTTCCTTAACATCCTGATCTTCTGATGCACTTTTATTACTCTCAGGCGATCGTTCAACAGTCCTCGGTTTAAAGAAATTCTTTATAGTTACAGGAGGGGTAGTAGCTTTAGTTAACGTCCTTTGGTTGATGGGCGTTTCCGGTTCCTCATACGCTCGGCTGGCTTTTGATGGCTGTTTAGAACGTTCTGTTGAACTCAAAACACCATTTTGTTTGTCCTAGAAAATAAAGGGAAAAAACAGATAATCGTTTAAGTCAAATCAATACCTAACCCGGTTCAAAGTTGAAGCCTAGAAGCAGTAGTAAAGTATGACAAAAATTCTAACCAGACTCTCGCTAACGTCCCCAGAAACGGGGGCAATGACAGAAGATCATGTTACGATGTTTTAAAAATAAAACTTATTCTCTGGTGTGTTCTATGAAGACCCAATATCCACAGACAAATAAAATCTCCAGACTGTTCTCCATGTACATCTTTAAAGAATTAGAACAGAGAATTTGACAAAAGATCAACTTATGGTGACATTTTATTAATTGTTATAACCTTTTCTCTTGGTTACGTATTGATATTGTGGATCATTATACGCTTCTAGGAAACTGCCC